GTAAGAAGAAAACAGTTGGTTTTAGTCTTCTGGAGAAAAAAAATCCTCTTCTGCACACACATACTGACAGAAACCTGAGAATTACTGTGCCATCACAGCTTCAGCATGATACAACATGATTCTGAGATGTTAGTACCTCATCACATTTCCATTTAATCATCTGTACTACCAGATCCAAATGGCAACATATTTCTGGTGGTTGCCTCTAAAACAGGCTGTGAAACTAAGCCGCATTTGATTTTAGTCCTTCTACCTTTCTCATAAAACAGTAAAGCTCCTTCTTTAATTTCACCACCTTTGAAATGAAAAGTAGTGGCTACACTCTTCTTCAAATGTAATTTTGCCTTTGTACATGCTTAACTAGTTCTTACCACACAGTTATATAAAAAACCTAAGCTTCTCAGTAAGTTCTCATCTCAATAAGTAATGTATTCTTCTAAGCAGAAGATTATAAAACTAAATTCCAGAGGAAAGAAATGTTATTTTCAGAAATGAAGTATTTATCAATACACAGACTTTCTCCAAGTTGAGAGGTCAAATACGGGGAAGGCTTTTCTCTGTTTAGCCATTGTTTTTTTTTTACAGCTATCCAAATATGTTTTCACAACAAGTGACAAGGAGAAGGCTGGCTAAATTTCCAAAATTCTCTTTCCATAACTGCCATGTCCTACCATATAGCTACCACGATTCAGAATTGGTAGACCTCTGCATAATTCCAAGTATTGGAACTGTCAACACATGAAGTAGCAGAGCTTGGGCTTCAGCCATCACTTCACTTAGGAAGGAAGAGAACCAGTTAATAGCAGTGATGCACCAGTTCCAGCAGAAAAGTGAAGCATGTCCAAAAGAAACTCCACAAGTTCCAAGTGAGTCAAAGGAGGGACACCACATTAGCAGCTTAACAAGAAACACAGAAACATGCTCAAAGGACCCACTGTGAAAAGCACACTTCTTTGCTCTAACGAAGCAACGACCACCTAAGGAGGTGGCTCTGTGGTCTTAATCAGTCACCTCCTTAAACGGTCAAGAAATCTAACTGCAGTCCATTAGGTAAGAGAAGGTTTCCATTCTTCCAAACAGCTGTTCCTGAAGATTCTAGAGGAGCACAGTCCATCCCTCAGGAAGACTCAACTATGGATTTGAGCAGACAGACTAGTTTGCATATTAGGTAGTGAAACAGGCAAATACTGAAAATTCCTATCACATGTAAGCTTTTAGTTCAACTGAGCTAAAAGAAATAACTTTTGGGAAGACAGGGAAAAAGAAAAAGGTCAAAAAAATCCTTTCAAAAAGTTTTACAGAACATCTTTCTTCAGACTATTCTGCTCCAGATTAAAACACTAAAAATTAACCAGCTGTTAGAAAGTTGTATCTGCTTAAAATAGAGACAACTAAACACATAAGCAAGAAAGAGTAAAGTTTACTAATATAGATTACCAAAAATAAATATTTGCCACAGAATATATATCTGGGCCTACAAGTTTAGCACAAAGTCAACTAGATCGTAATATAGATTACCAAAAATAAATATTTGCCTACAAGTTTAGCACAGAAGTCAACTAGATCACAGAGATCCTGAAAATATACTAGAGAAATGCTCAGTCAGCTCAACATAACAGGGAAACACTATGAAAAATGACAAAATATGCTAGGCCACATTTTCATGAATGCACTAAGTCTGATCTCATTTTGCACATACTAGTTTTCAACCCATCTTGCTGAGTTTCTCTCAGAATCATTTGTACCCATATAAGTAATAAAATGCATCGTGTGCCAATTCAGTTTATGAAATTAAGCTGGTTTTAAGTGACCCATAGCTTGTCTTCATCTCATTTGCTTCTGAACTGCTGAATGAAGCAGTAAGAAGTCTTTTGAGCAGACAGTATTCTTTAGAAAAAATGCTCTGTAAAGTGACACTTCTGCTTTATCATGTCAAGCAAGAGAAGCTCATCATTATCTTGAGGACCTTTCACTGTGAACACCTGGGAAAAGACAGACATCTAAAAACTGGAGTGATAGCCTCTGATGGGGAAGGAATCAGCTAAGACGGTGTTATCCCACTCTTGCAAAAAGTAAGTATTCTTTAGAAAAAATGCTCTGTAAAGTGACACTTCTGCTTTATCATGTCAAGCAAGAGAAGCTCATCATTATCTTGAGGACCTTTCACTGTGAACACCTGGGAAAAGACAGACATCTAAAAACTGGAGTGATAGCCTCTGATGGGGAAGGAATCAGCTAAGACGGTGTTATCCCACTATGAGGATCTCATCCTTTAAAATACGATCCGCGAAGTTTTAAATACACTGGACGAGTTGTGAAGCAGCAACGGACTGAGGTGCAAAAAGCATTCAAGCCACAGAAGATTTTTTTTTAAGAACAACCCACAATACTTGATAAGTAGCATAAAATCATTAAATTGCAGGGTAGTGTAATGCTTGGAACTAAAAATAGAATGCTTCTACACAGTATTACTGAAAACTTGCAAGCAGTTTTTACAGAAGACATGCAACTAGATGGATGGATATCTACAGACAGATCACTGATACAATGCAACAGAGCCTGTTGACAAATCTGTCTAAAGTCTGCTGAAATTTATTCAAATCTTGCCCCCTTTTCTCTCCTCCAGCTCATTGCCATCACAACCAACCTGAGCATCAGCATGAGTTTGTCACAGCTGTCCAACAGGAACTGTGACACAGAATTGCCAGAGGGCATCACCTCAGGGACACAAAAATATGTCTGAAGAACTAGAATTCCTCAAAACAGTGTCATATGTAAGGCCTATACTGTCTAGTGGTCTCCTACATAAAAACCAAACTTTATCCATTCTCATTTCCTTATGATTTAACACCTAAATTCCTACGGTTCCATAAAACAATGCAGGTTCAATCATAGCAGCTAAACTGCAACACCTCCAACAATCACAAAGTAAGCAAATAGTTACTCCACAGAAGTATCCAGTGTGGGTCATACCAGCAAGTCATACCTTGGCACAGCAGGCCAAGGATTAGCATCTTGGATGCTCAAATAGAGATTCTTATACTGCCTTTGTCACAACAGATGTTGGACAATGTCAGTGGGTTATATGATATCGCCACCTTGTAGATCACAGAAACAAACATGTTTCTGAAATAAGCAGATAACGTCAATTGAGCTATGATGTAACCTAGATTTTATTTAGCAGAAGTGATTCACCAGCCAGCATGAGAAGTGGTTTCATTCACTGGTCCATTTTGATCTTCCTTAGAATTATGTGTCCCGATTAGAGTTTCTGAATACAGTAAAAAAAATAATCAAGAAATCATTTTATTTGATTCTGCTGATAAAACAATGTAATTTCTTGCTAGCTGTAGTTAATTGATTCAGACAGAATTTCAATACAATGACAGGAATAAATTTAGGAAGAAAACAACACTGAAATTTAATCTGTGAGATGTTGAACAGGGAAGGTAAGGTTTTGCATTATTATTGCCCTCAGTTTGTGACTGAAGTCTTCTGAAATCAGATGAAGAGTATGTAAGAGGATAACAATTAACTCAGACAGGAGGGGAGTTTCCGGTAAGTATGCACGTAAGACTACTGTTAAATGGGAGAATGTAGTGTACAGTTGCACATGCTGTGGAACACCAGGAATTTTATTACATGGCTCCACAGGAAAAAAAAACCAGCTGTTTCAAAAGTATCAAGTGATAAAGAACTGTAAGTACTGATGCTTGCAAAAGGGTCAAGGCTGTGCTAAACTGGCCATGTAAAAAAAAACCAACAAAACAACCAGCTCCTGAGAGATGAAGTCACTTTGGTGGAAGTCCCTCAGGTTGAAAAACGGATGGTCCAGAGACGTGTGGAGGGGCCCCTGTCCGTGGTCCTTAAGCAACCACCACCCTGCCCATCACCCCGGCCCTGCTGCATCTACTCAGAGGACTTGCCGGTGACACTCGTACCATCAGGTACGTGCAGCCCGAGACAAATAAACAGCCTGCCAAATGCTCAGCCACTGTGGATCCATCAGCCAAAACTGTCTTAACCACTTGTCATTTCAAAAAAAAAAATAAAATTGTCTGCTTAACTCTGGGTGGCAGAAAAAGAGCAAGCAAAAGGAAAGAAATAGACAATAATCTTTGAACACTTTCTCCTTTCTCCTCTTGGCTGAAAAGAACTCTGTTCTAGAAAATGTATCTGCGGAAACCATGAGGAAATTGTCACAGACTGTTTGCTAGTAAAGTCCCTCTGGAAAGAAAAGAACACTGTTTTCACATTTGTTGTGCCATATACGCTTTTTTTTTTTTAGTATGTTGTGAGAGGGGTGATGCATAGGCAACTTAAAATTCATTACAAAAATGTGTCTCAAGCTGTATATAATATAACAGAGAAGGTCAAAAATGTTAAATATGCTTGAACAGTTTGCTCTTAAATCCTGTATCTTTAAAACTGTTTTTTTTGTTGATCGAGGTCACTTGAACTTTTACATAATAAAGTTTATGCTTGACACATTCGTAAATCAAATCTCATTAGAGAAGAATTGCCTGTCTGTGTATGTTTTAAGTGGCAGCCATCCTATCCACTAGATCTTAAGAAAAACACAAAAACGTTCTCCTTTTCCCTTTGGAAAGCAGAGCAATCAAATTAGCAAATACAGAATGACAACAGAGTCTAGCATGGAGTTTCATATGTGCATGTATGGAAATAAGGCCTAAAACTCCAAAGCAAACCTTCAACCCACAGCAGGAAGCCGCCTAAGTTTAGTTTGGTTTCAGCTAAAACAGATTCCATATTAACAGGAACCTGTTGCTCCAGAAGAAATACTGTCTCCACCTGAAATCAGTCATAACAGCTGTGAAGTTTTGGATCTCTGATTTAATGAAAAATGACTTTCATAATTCATTTAAGGATCAGTCGAGAGTGGAGGAAGGGAAGGCAAACATATTATAAACTCATTAGCATTCTCCTGCTGGGACCTCTGTCTCATTAACCAGCTGTCACAATAGACAGGAATGCCATACCTTCACAGATGCACCGCTATTAGACTTTGGGAAGACTCCCGCTATCAGGGGAAATCCTTCAGACCTACAGGGACTTGGCTCCAATGTGAATCTCAGTTACTTCCCTTGAGCTTGGCAGATAGTATGCTGAAGCTGAAAAAGCAACAAAAAAAATAAAATTCTTGAGCTTATGCTCTAGAGTAGTGGCCTGGCTGACAGTGTCAAAAATAGGCAATGCAGCCCAAAACAAACTTTCTGCTTCAGTTTGCCTACTTCTGGTACCTAAGTTGTTTAAAGTCTAAGTTGCAGACATACTGGAACAGACTGCAGCTGGACAGTCTGGGCCTAAAAATGAATGGTAGAAAAGCTATGGGGTTTGCTGCAAGTCTTTAAACTTTCCAGAATTTGAGCATTCTGAAAGAAGAATAAGGGATTTTTTATTTATTTAAAAAAAAAAAAAAAACAAACAGCAGACTATCCAACTAAAATTATCAGTAGCTCAGAGTATTAGAGATGCAGATGAGAGAAAGGAAACAGTATATTAAAAAATCCACAAGAAATTTCTAGAAAATATATAGCAAACACTGCACATTTAGAAAGAAGTGCAAATCTTGTTTAGTGAAATCAAACATTTTTTACCTTTCGAGAAGCACTTCAAATCATACAAGCTTATCTCACTGTGATGTTTTTTCATTTTGTGGACAAGGCACTAAGGAGGAGGCCCCATATACACAATGTAACAGGCAAGTATCCTACCAAGTAGGAGTCTGGCAGATGATGACCAACTGATAGAAGCCATTTCTGGTATGCTGTGTGCATTTTCCCAAGATCATTCCAACAAATGGCACTATGTGCTTTCAAACTTTCTAATCACAACACAAAATACAAGACAGTGACAGAGCTATAAAAAACCACCAAACAACAAAACACCGAGTATATGGACGAAGGTTTTCACAGAAAAACAAAATAGGAAGCAAAGTTCTTAAAATTTACTTAAGATGATACATTACATTAAGATGATTACATTACATTACTAGCTCTCTTATTTAAATTCTTATCTCAGTCATGAATTTGAGTTCCTCTCTACTCCCAAAAAGCACTGAGAAGACCTAAGATTTTCCAATTCCTGTACTAAGATCTAAATATCTTAGTTCCTGTTCAAAGCAGCATCTGTCCAAAATAAGGACATTATCTCCTACAAATAAGATATATATATACACAAATATTCAGGTGATAAGTCTACTCTCAGGGAAGACAGCAGCACTTCAACAATCTACTGAAGAGAGGTAGGGAAACCTGGAAGCAGGGTTGCAGAAGTGGAAGAGCAGACAGCTATACAAAGAGAACAGAAAACAGACTGAACAAGAGCAGTGGAACATGCTACAGAAAAAAAGTCTGAAAATATGTCTTAAAAAACCCTCTGAAGTTCAGGTGAACTTACATTACAAATGCGGTTGCTGCTCGAAGAACAGAACAAGGTGTTGATATCGGCAGCTGCCTTTTATAAAACATAAGAGAACACCACAAAATCCTACAACAAAGGAGAGAATAAGCATAGTTTTCTTCAAGCAAAGAAAAAAGTGCTTTAAAGGAAAATCCTACAGTAGTTACTTGTTAAGCTACGGCCTTATACAAGATGACTTTAAGGCAAACAGAATTAAGATATCAGAAACCAGGAGACTGAAGAGCATAAAGGAAGATCCGTTTTTTCTGAACTAGAACTGCCGGCTATGAGCAGAAACAATGTAAATGGACTGTATGGATGCACTGCACAAATTTATTGCAAATGGAAGTTAAATAACTGAAAACAGTACTAGGAAATAACTGATCTTACAAAGGTGCAGAGGTTTGTTCAATAGATGAGAACTGTACTTCCAATGTCTGCAGTTCCCATTTGTTCCAACATACAGAATGGAATGATACTATGTTCATGTGAAAGCGCAAAAAAATATCCGCTCATAATTTACCTTCAAAATTGTTTAGCCATATCCAGGAAATATGTCTAGACATAGCTACAGTTAAATTATACAAAGAAAGTATTTGAAAAAAAAAATCAGATTATGCAATGAATATTAAAGATGTGTCTGAAAGCTAGCCACATTGAGTTAATCATATATCAAATCATCTTGAACAACTTAGTGAGATAGCCTAGTGGTTACACTTCATGCCTCGCACTTTGCACCTCAGAGAATGCTGGAATGCTTCAGAAAATTAATATGGGAAACGAATAATACAAAAAAAATGGGAATATCATGACATTTAAAAATGTCAACAGTAGTACCAGCAGCAGACAACTGCAGGCTCTCAAGCACCCTTTATAGTTGAGAGGAAGAAAGTACATCCTCCTGACCAAAAAAGGGCTCTTATTACATATTGAAGAGAACTAGATTTCTCTTCTTCCACCAGAAGACTGGTCCACAAGGCTGCATGGCTCTAACATTTTATCTGTTACTCAAAAATGTAGTTCCAGAGTTCCTTGTTAGAAAAATACTGCAATAAATTGCACCTAAATGCTACCAAGTAAAAAAAAAATCCTACTTATTCTTTACCAGCAAGAGGATAAGTTGTTGCTTTGTAAGACACAAAAAACACTGGGGTTAAGTGAAAACATTTCTCCTGGTTGCACAGGAATGACTTGTTTCTGAAGAGGAGAACAAAAGAGCGTTGCTTCTCCTAAAATCAAGGGATTTAAAAATCATAAACCTAAGTAAATAATCCCCAAATCCTGTAGAAGCGTAGTATACAAACAAGTAAAACATTTTTGCATCTGGATAAGGACTCTGTGGACGCAGACACTCAGTGAAGGCAAGTGGGGCAAAACCTGATAAACTGTAACATCACACAAGTTCATTATAACATGCCAGATTTCAATAAGCAAATGCAGAGTAGTATTTCACAGGAGCCATAGTAGACGTAATGCTCAACTCAAGGAATATTTACTCATTGGAAACAAATGCAAGAGACCGTTGTGAAAGCTATTTGTGTAAATTTAAAATGCAATGCAATGTCTGAAAGAGATCCCAAATTCATAAACATGTCTCACTGGAGATATATTTTCGTACGAATGAACTTTAAAGGAGAAGAAATAGGAGTATATCTGTCAGAGGTTCAGTAAGTAGTTTCATATGAGCCAGAATACACTTTCATAAATTTGCTAAGCTGGAATCAGGACTGTTTCCCAATGGAAGCATTCAATTTTACATCTACACACCATTTCTTTTGCTTTAATGTACTGGTACAAACGGAGTAGAGTTTTTACCTTTTGCTTGTGCTTTCTTACAAATCCATATTTAAGTGTGTCCAGAAAACTGCAAGGCTATGTTTCATTGTTTAGTGTGGAGGTCAGACTTTGGACTCTGCTTCTCTCATTCTAGATGAATTCTATTTTTTGACTTTTTTCTAGGGCTCAAAGATTCCTCAAGTCACCATTCAATGAAAGAATGTGCAGTACAAAGCGATATTCAGATGGAGCTATACAGTGTCGAACTAATGACTACCTTATTGCAACAACACGTCTTACTGTAAACAGCAGTCTGGAATAGTCTTAATATTGAGTTCAACAGATGTAAGAATATCAGCTCTTCAGCATAAACTGTATGAGAATCAAAATAAAATTACATCATGTATGCTCCTGGAGAATGAGGGGGCAGTGGAAAAAAAACAAACCAAACAAAACAAAACACATGAATGACATAACTGAAAACTTGCTTACTTAGGCCTACTAAGTCCTAAATCTAGAGCTACTGTTGGATATCATCTTAACTGCTTAGAGAAGTCAGTAACAAGCTGATGGAATTGGACTACAAATGTAGGTGACCTACTGTATATCTTAAAGTCCTGTGGGTACGTATGCTCCTCTGCTAAATTTAATTCTGCTACGTGAGTAAATCTTTATCTCCTCATGACAGACAGTATAAATAAAAAGAAGGAAGTCTAATAACTCCACAATATAAGCTCTTAGTCCAGCAGCCGCTGGATTTACCCAAAGCCGATTTATGAAAACCTCTCCGTTAAACACAGTGACTGTCATATCCATAAAAGAGACCTGTTCAAAAAGAGGGAAGCCTACTTGAAAATTTTACTAAATCATTTCTCCTAATATGGAACTGTAACTCTTTTCACAACAACAACAAAAAAACCTATTTGATTTAACTTTAATAATTATCCTCAGTAACATCGTCTTGCTAAGAATCAACAAATGAAGCTCAACATAAAATAAATTAGGATTTTCAGCATTTGCTAGTAGAAATTATCCAAAAAATCCTTCATACACAGAGTTGAATTTGACCTGTGACAGATACAGAGGGGGGAAAACCCAAAAATTTTAAAAAGGAGCATATTAAACAAATAATAAAAAGCATGAGGAGCTATACTCTAATGATTCACTCAAAGACTGTGACTGAGAACAGTGTTCATAAAAAGCCTCAATAAAAATTCTATTTGTTAACATTCCTTTAATATGAGACAAACCACTCCAGAATTCATTCTGAAGAGAAAAAAAAAAATAGAAGTGTGAGATAAACCTAGTTTAGGAATTGGACGAAGAAGGCTGGAGAGAACAGGCCCTCAAGCAAGACATATGCTACATTATTACTCTCATTCCACCCTCCTGTGCGTTCCTGTAGAAAATGGGAAAATCTTGGGAAAGGTTTTTCCGATTCAAATGCATGATCTCAGTTATCTTATGACAGAACAAGAAAGAGAAAAGCCCCCAGAAAGAAATAAATTTAACTTCAGATCTACCGAAACTTTTCCATGTGCTACTTGAAATAAGGAACAGGATAAAACCACGTGCACTTCCCCCCTGCCCTCAGAAAACTTAGCAAAGAATTTGGTGTAGGCACTGTCTAGCAGTATTTTCATCAAAGCTCCCAGCAGACACATGATCCCTGACCAAAATAACATTTCAGCAACCAAGGGATCAAGACCTAGCTCTAGAACGGACTGTCATGATGATAGCTCTGGAAAAACTGAATCTCTTGCTCAAGAGCTCTGTATTTGTTCTAGATATCTATCATTGTGAGGCAGCATCTTCATCTGAACCTCAAAGATTGTTTTAACTTGTCACGTGACCAGCATTCCTTTCCATAACTACTTTCTTAATGACACTACGAATAATCTCCATTTTCCCACTAAAATTTTAAGCTTCAGTA